TTTTATTTCACCCGGCATCCCTCTCAAGATTTTTTTTTTTTTTTTTTGTTTTCCTTTCTCTCTCTGCCTGTTTTTGTCTTGAGAACTCGCAGGCTCCTTTTTTTTTTTTTTTTTTTCTATTCCTACCTCTTTATTTACTACACCTTTTTTGACGTCCCTATCTCTATCTCTCTATCTCTCTCTCTCTCTGTGTGTGTGTGTTTGTTTGCCATCATCGCAAGTGAGCTCAACGAAGAGATATATAGATTGCGGTGTGGTGGCAGTCGGGCTGCAGAGGAAATACAATGAGCACTGGTGCTGCTGACGATGGGAAGTGGGACGTGGAGGACGGTCGGCGGCCGCGGCGTGCCAACCGCGGCACTTTGCTGCAGGAGCTTCTTGAGAAGGGACTGAACTCGGAGGAGGAGAACCTGCTGAATGACTTAAGTGACGCAACGACCGACAGTACTTTTAGCAGCAGCGGGGAGGAGGCGATGGATGAGATTGACAGCGACTTTTCGGACGAGGAGGTAGAGGGCGTATTGGACGGCACGGAGGTGACGACGGAGGCAATGCTGCGGCGAGAGGAGCGGGAGGAGCGGCAGAAGGAGCGACAGCGTGCACGGCGACGCATGGGAGGAAACGTGTTGCAACGCAAAGGCGCCGCCGCGGCAGACGCACCGAAGACGGCTGCTCTCCGACTTCGGCCGCCGTCAACAATACCGCTTGAGGAGCGGCTGCAAATGGCGCATAAAAGAGCCCGTGAGGTTCGTGCGGCGGCGGCCGCGGCAAGCGTTGCAAAGGGGGAACACGACTCGGTGGGGACGATGTTGATTTCTTCGGCAGGGGGTGCGTCAGCGTACAACGTGGGACATTCCGTGGCGAAGCGTCGGCGTCTGCACGGCAGCCGTGCACGGCCCGCGGCCACGCCAGCGGGGTTTGAAGAGGGCGAGGAGGTGCCGCAGCGTCTCCTCTACACAAGTAGCCGAAGTGTACTTGAGCAGTTCGGTGTGCCGGTGGTGATATCCTTCTCTACCTGTTTGCCACGGATGTTCCAGACGTAAAAAAAATTTTAAATAAATAATGGAATCAAAGCGTGGCGTCGCTGGGTGAGAGTGGTGCAGTCCCCCGCACCTTTCTTTCTTTCCTTTATGCCTCTCCGTCAGCTCCCATAACTCCCTCGCCGTTGCATCGAATGTGGTGTCTTCCCACCATAGTGGCTTATTTCGGTTTCTTTCCTTTTTTTTTTTCTCTCCAGTTTGTGTGCAAGTGACTGTGGATGGCCGCGGCAAATGTTGTGGAAGGATGAGGGTGTTTTCCCTCGTTTTTCTTGTTGTTGTTGTTGTTGTTGTTATGGACACCGCAGCTTCTCACCTTCTTTGTTTTTTGTTTTTTTTTTTTTGTCTTTTATCGCTCTTTCCCCTGCATACATGTCTTGTTTGAAATGTGGCGTGTTCACGGAAACATCCGCAGGGGAAGGAAGGAACGAAAAGAAAAAAATAAAGGCTCTCTCTCTCTCTCTCTCTCTCTCTTTGCGGGCGGGGGCAAACAAACAAACAAAAAAAAAAAAAAAACAGGCCAGGGCGAAGTCAATAAAAAAAATTTTTTCATTCACAGTTACATCAAGTGATGCTAAACAACGAGCTCGCTAACCTCGTGGATCAGCAGAAACGCTCCGTGCAGGATGCGTTGGAGGCGCAGAAGGTGCACATTCGTGTGCAGCAGCGTAAAGGGAAGAAGTTTGTTACGTCCGTGCAGGGACTCAACCAGGCGCTCAACTTCCGCCGCATCAGCCGTGAGTTCCAGCGGCGATGGGGTTGCAACGGCACCGTCATTGTGACGCCGGATGCGGGCACTGTCATTCAACTGCAGGGCAACTGGAGCGAGGAGATTAAAAAGTTCCTTCTTGATGAGAACATGGCGACAGAGCAAAACTTAGAGATCCACTCTCTGAACTAAATGCATGCACGCAGTCACATTTATACATTGGAGTACAAGAAACAGAAAGAGTGTGTGTCTGGTGTGTGGTGTGTGTCTACGATGCGATATTTGTTGTTTCCTGTTCTTCCTGCAGGGTTGTTACTGTGAGTCTCGTTAGCAGGGCGTTGTTGTTGTTGTTGGTGGTGGTGGTGGTGGTAGAGTGAAAGAGGGCGAGGAGGGCGGTGTTTGTTTGGCACGCAGCCTGCGAGGGGAGCAGCGGTGGGTGGTTGAGTTTGGTGCACAGCCGTCATTTAAGCTGCGTGTGTGCGAGAATGTTTCAACGAAAACAATGAAAAGAAAAAAAAAAGGAAAAAATAACATTAATAATGATAATTAGACGACGTGTGAGAAGCGCCAATTAAAAGAAGATGGAAAAAAAAGGAAAAACAAAAAAGAATGGAGAGGAGAAGTTGCAAGTGTCTTGCCCAGAGGGATACGTGCGTGTGCCTCCGTTTGTCCACTACCCACACACATGTGTGTGTGTGTGTGGCTCTCTGCGCCTGTAATTTGAGGTGGCCACCTCCTCCTGCTCCTACTCAATTGCGAGTTCTTTTTTTTTTTTTTTTGCTGTAAACTAGCGCCTCTTCTCCTTCCATTGCTGCTGCCCAACAACATATACATTTAAGGTACGTGCGCGGCAAATAAAAGGCTCAAGCTTTTTTTTGGCTCTCGCTTGCGGATCGAATACGCCCGGGGGAGGGGAGGTGGTTGCTGCTTCACTTCCCAGCACTGCGCGGAATCCCCTTGTCGGCTGCCATTTTGTACCTTGCCGCATTTGGGGGATCGCTCGCACTTGAGACCCCCGGAACCGTCGCTGGAGTGTTGTTTGCTCTGCGTGCGTATAATTCCCTCCCTCATTCCCCCACCTACACACACACAGACAGACACGCACACATCCGGCAGCAGCGCAGCGGGCGGAGCGGAAAGTTTGGCAGGAAACCGGGAACAGGGGATAGAAGTCAGGAGGGGCGCACCGCAATAGCCTCCTTTCCTCTTTTCTCCCTTTCCCCCTCTCTCTCTCTCTCTCTCTCATTCCCTCCGTGCGTGTGGCGGCGGCCGTCAGCACCGGGAGCGAGAAGTACGACAGGCACCGCAGTCGCATTGAGTCCTCGTGTTTGCCCAGCTGCACGGCAGCAGGGAGGAAAGAGGCCCGACGACACGCAACTGGGCGGAGAAAAGGAGAAGAGAACCATAACCCCCGTCGCGGAACGGACAAAAACAAAAGAAACAAAAATAAAAGACAACCGAAGGGTAAGCGGAGGGGCGAAAAAAAAAAAAACCGACAGATAAAATAAACAAAAAAAGAAAAAGAAAAGCAGGAAAATTATAGAACACACAAAACGAAAGAAAAAAAAAAAAAAAGAGAGACTTTAAATTGAATAAAAAGAAGAGGAAAATATATATATATATATATATATATATAAACAAGGTTGTTAAAATATAAAAAATGCCGCTGCATCCAGAGTTCATTCCGCTGGCAAAGCAGAAGGAGATGTTCGCCATCAGCTCCTGGCGGGACTCGCCGCAGACTGCCGCCGCAACACAGCCGATGGTACCGAGTCCCGCCATTTTACCGGAGGCCCAGTGTGACAAGGACGGTGCTTCGCAAGTCAAAGGGGGGCATCGCTCACGCAGGGGGCGTCGTGGGAAAAATCGACTGGTTCAGCGGCAACAAGATGTGGATGACTTTTTTTTGAACTGTGTGCTTCCAAAGGGAGTCTCGTTCGCCACGCTCAACTCGGAGCTGCAATGTAACGCAACGATGCCACTTCGTGCCTACGACATTGGAACGCCGTACGCCCTGTTTACCCGACGTAATTGTGGGGCGTTGTCGGGCGGCATGGAGCTTGGCAACACGGAAAATGCCGGTGGTATTGGTGCCACTGCGACGGCTGCAACTGGCACAAAAGCGCCGATGCCACCAGGAGGAGACCACAGTAGTACTACCAATAATAATACTAATAACCATAATCCTAATAACACTAATACTGTCACAATTGCCGCTGCCGATGCGAGAATAGGGACTTCTTCATCTGAAGCAGAGGCAGCTGTAGTAGCAATAGCTTCAGGGGATGGTTTGGCGACAACAACAAAGAAGTCAAACCATCCTGCTGTGACTCTTTCACCCTTTCGTACGCCAATGGTGGGAGCGTCAGGAGCGGCTGTACTGACGCCGGCTGACGACAGCGACGATTCACCAGGCGACGCTCCTCCTCCAGACTTGGTCCTTCCACCGTCCGTCCCCTCCGAAATACTTTCAAAGGGGCATCTGATCTCGCTTCTTTATGCCGAGAGTGGCGAGGCAGAGAAGGCCAGTGAGTGGCTGCAGAAAAAGTGGCCGCAAGCGACGGTGATGGTTGTAGCTCGCAACCGTTCCATCCTGAACTCCTCACTGGTCCTAAAGGGGCTTCCCAGCCTGGCGAAAACGGAACGCATCATTGAGGAAGTTGAGAAGGTCATCCCACAGAAGCCGTCTTACATCCGTCTGCATCGCGGTGAACGGGGGGTGTTCAAAAATGTTGTCTTTGTGAAGTACCCCAATCGCGAGGTCGCGGAGGAAAGTAAGTTGCGCCTTGAACGGTTTTTCATTGGATCGCGCCAACTTAAGGTGGAGTTTAAAAAGAAGGAAAAGGGAACCGCGGAACGGGAGAGCGAGGCTTCTCTTCAGCAGCTGGTCCGCGACCTCCGCGTCAGCACGGAACACGAAGGCTTTATATATCAACGCAGCGACCTCACAAAGGATGAATTGAAGTTGTTGAAGCAGCTTTGCCACTCTTACGGCCTCTCCTTCGACCTCACCGAGCAAAAAGTGACGGTGAAGCGCATCCTTCCAGGAAACGACCGCCAGTCACCGGCGCTACGCCCCAGCCAGACCACGCCGTTGAACTGGACGCAGGCCACACCCGGAGCTCTGCGACCGATGGACTTCAAAGGCATACGTCACTGGGGGGAGATGCGCAGCAAGTACTCATCCCTGGGTATTGCTCGTCCGAAGGGACCCCACGATGTGCCACCTTTCGCCTCCGGCCGGGGACGTCCGCTGTGAGTATACGAGGAAGAAGTGGCACGTGTGCGGGGCTGGTGATGGATTTGTAGACTGGGGAAGAGAAGAGTGGTGCAGGGCGTTGTACTGGCAGAAATGTAAGAAGCGAAAGCACAAACCACTGGAATCCTCGTTTCAAAGAAAAAAAAAAAGAGGAATTGAGAGTGTGAGTGAGTGCTTGTGTGTGCTTAGGCCTGTAGACACAAATTCACCCGCCACCCTCTACAGAACAAAAAAAACAACAAGGGTCTCTCTCAATGGGTCGTTGTTGTTTTCGTCAATAATTTTGCCTCTTTTCATCTTTTTTTGTTTTTTGGTTTTTTCTTCCCCGTTTACTTTTTATTAAATGCGCTCTCTTTCTTTCTCCTTCTTTTTCTCTTTCTCTTTTTCTCTCGCTCGCTCGCTCTCTCTGTGTGTTTGTGTCTGTGTTTTTGTGTGCCGGTTGTTTGGATGGTTCTTCACAAATGCGGTCTTTTTCTGTGGACTCGCAGACCAATTTTATTTGGGTTATTTGAGGCGACGAAAATAATCGCCACTTTTATCATTGAAAAAAAAAAGGGGGGGGGGAGCGTCGTTTTTTGTCGTCGTTGCTCCTCCCTGCCATTCCCATTCACGCGGCTGCTTCTTCATGATGCATGGATATTTATGTGTAAATAATCCACAGGGAGTGGTATCCTGTCTTCTTTTTGGTTTATCTCTCTTTTCCCCCGTCCCAGCGTGTTCTCTCATACCGCGTGGATGAGGGAGAGGAAGGGAGGGATGAGGACAAACCCAAAGACTTAATGTTTTTTTTTTTTTTGTGTGTGTGTGTTTTCGACAGGGCCATTTCCCTTTTTTTGTTTTGTTGGTTTATTGTTGTTGTTGTTGTTGGTGGTGTGCGTGTGTGTGTCGGAAGCGAATTTGTGTTTTTTTGTTTTTTTTTCGCCTGTGCGTCTCCTCTCATTGAGTCACTTGACAACTCGTCTCTCCTCCAGCCGGTTGCCGTGGAATGTCTTGGTGGACGGCTTGCACGCACGCACGCACACACACACACACAGAGAGAGAGAGAGAGTGAGAGGGAGGAAGAGAATTATTACTACTACAATCGTTATTATTATTATTATTATTATTATTATTATAGAAACGGCGTTGTGGCTCTTTTTTTGTTGTTGTTTTTTTGTTTGTTTTTTCTTCGTTGCTGCTCACTTTGATGTGAGGGAAGGCAAAGAAGGAAAAAGAGAAAAGAAAAAAGAAGAGTAGCGACTAATTAGTCCTTTTTTGAGCGTAAAGGGGAATGGCGAAAGGGGTCAAATTTTTTTTTTCTTTTGTGTGTGTGTGTGTGTCTGAGTGGACTCTCCTCACTTCGTTGTTGGGTTCATTTGTCTGTCTTTTGTTGTTTTTGTTTGTTACTATCATTTTTTGTCAGGTGTCTATAATTCTTTTTTTTTCCTTTTACTCTCTCTCTCTCTCTCTATCAATCTATGTATCTATCTCTCCTTGGTTGTGTGTGTAGAGGTACGTGGCCTCTGAACCGCATGTATGACTACAGCACCCTCGTCACCATTCTCTCGTGCACGGCAGTGTTCAGGCAGGGTTGTCACCCCCGATACAATTCGGGCCCGGTGGCGTTGAAAGTAACATCAGCGCCACCGTTGCCACTTGCCTCACGGAGAAGAGGAGGAGGAGGAGGAGAAGAAGGATTACGTGTCGATCATGAAGGAGATAGGGAAAGTGCAACAACATCGTTGTGCGATGGCACGGTGCACCCAACGATACACGAGGCGAGGGTTTACGCCCTTGTGTGTCCTCATCCATCCATTCCCGTCTTTGTGGAATGTATCGAGGATGCATTTGACACTTCGCGTTTCCTTGCGAAGGAGCACCACCGTGGGGTACGGCGTCTTCCCGTTCTTGTCACACAATTCGTTAAGGCTGCCTCCTTGGATCGGTTCTTTTACAGTTTCCCGGTCCTTCGTTGGTCAATAGCCGTGCAAGTTGCACATCAGGTTGCCAATGTGTTGCAACATGTACACAGCAAGGGTGTTGTGTACGGTGATCTCAAGCTGCCGAATGTCCTCCTTGGGAGTGAGGGTCATGTATGGCTGGTAGACTTCGCCAGTGCCGTGATTGTGCACAGCGGTGTTGCTGTCTCTGAAAAGAGACGCGCCGTTGAAGTAGAAGAGCTGGCGAGGGGTATTACATTTCATCTACGAGCACCAGAGCTCTTTTCCACCACACAAACGCCGGGGACGGAAGCTGTTCTAAAGCATCCGTTTATGGTGGACTTTTGGGCATTCGGTGCCTTTCTCCTCGAACTTCTAACAGGTCGTCCTTGTCTAGGCACCTTTGCGGAGCGCAGCGGAAAATACACACGGGAAGAACTGCAAGCGAAGGCAATGGAGGGATGTTCCCTCGTAAAGCAGCGCTACGGAGGCGCAAAAGGCCCTCACAACGCTGATAGGGTTTGGGATGCCCTTGGAGACCTGCTCGCAGGATTGATCCAGCGCAGCCCAGAACAGCGAATTGGCTTCAGGGGTGGTTGGGGCGATGTTCTGCAGCATCGCTTCTTTGATCTTGTTGGGCCGGATCTTCTGGAGCCCTTCCCTGAGGAGTATGCCGAGGAAAATGACGAGCTCATGCTGGGCCTGTGAGACAAGGAGAAAAAACAACAGGAGGGGTGGGCGTGGAGTTCCCCTCTCTCTCTCTCTCCGTGTGGGTAAATGTGCACGCTTCTATTTGCAGAGAGGCGCGAGCCCATTGCTTTGATAGAAGGATATAATTCTTCGTTGCTACTGTTGTTTTCCCCGCCCACATGCACCCCGTTCGAATTCATTTTTGGTTTTTTGTTGTTGTTTTTGTTTTTTTTTTCCCTTCTCCATCCATCAGATTTGCCGCCTTGACTTGTGTCCACGGCCGCTGCCGCTGGTCCCCCCACGCAGCGAAGGCGAAGGTAGAAAGGAAGCAGGTAGGTGGTTAACTACTTAGCAATTACCCCTCATAATTGGGATTCCGAGTTTTGTCTCTGTGGGCTGCTTGCACAGTGAGTCCAGCTTGACCACAAGTCATCAGTTTTTGTTGTTGTTTTTTTTTTTTAGTTGTTGTTGTTGTTTTTCATTATTGAGAGGGAAACGGGGAGAATGCGTTTACATTTCTGGCGCAGTAAATCTCGTAGAGTGCACAGGTGGTCCCGTGTGGGTTATCGTGGCCTCCTGTTGGCTTGTGCATCATGCACAATCCTCATTATGTTCCTAGTGCTGGAATGCCTTTGCTCCGGCTTGAAGCTGCAGCGTGCTTCTTCTGGGACTGGTAGTGATCACCGCCGACCCCAACACGCGCCGTCACCGCAAACAAACCCAGTGGAACTGGGAAACTCGGTGAGAAAAATGGCGTATGTCGTTGTTATCAGCGGTGAGGCTTATGTTGACGGTGCCCTTGTGGTGGGCTTCTCACTGACGAAGCACTCCATTTACGCTGCGCGAGGGGCCGTGGATCTCGTTCTGGTCGTACCGGAGGGTCGGATTTCAATGGAGAGTCGCGAGCGGCTTCGCTGTGCCGGGTGGAATCACATCATTGAAGTCTTGGACTTGTCTGTTTACGCACCGAAAGCGAATCTAAAAGACACACTTTCGAAGTTGCATGTATTCAACCTCACCTCGTACTCCCGAGTGGCGATGTTTGACGGGGACATGTTGCTGATCCGCAACCCGGACAGAATCTTCGACACCAAACTGCCCAATAAGGATCACGTGGGGGCCATTGGAAGCCATTCCGGAAGTTATTTCCAGACGGGAGTTATGCTTTTGATACCATCCCGTGAAGTGTTTCTCGTCTTGCTGCACAAGCTGAAAACTGATCGGCGGCAGCAAGACCATGGTAGCAGGGATGGCCGCATTATTCGTGATTATTTTAAATCACGGTACGTCATGCTGGATCGCTTTCTTGGCATTCACATCCACTCAGGCGACCCTCTTATTGATCGTGCCATTGGACTGCACTACCGCGGTGGATGGAAGCCGTGGTATAACAGAGAAGATCCCCCGAATTTAGCGATTTCTTCCACAGCAAATGGACCCGGACAAGAAGTTGGAGCAGCGTATCGCCTTTGGTGGGAGGCGTATGAGAAGTTGCACGTCACGTGTATGGCAATACGAGATGCGATTGGGTCTCCAACTCGAGATGCCAACGCTCCTGCGGGATACGATCCCACGGAAAGCATGTGGCTTATGCGGCACACAGCTCAGAGTTACGTGCAGTTGATGGAGTGGAAAGAAGTGCTGCGACGTAATGTGACAGTTGCCGGGCTGCGAGTGGTGGAATCCGACGAAGGTGCCTCCTGCGACGAGGCGTGTGGCGCGGATGGGTTGAAGTGCATGGAAAAAGCATTGAGCTTTCTTCGTGTCAACTCTCTGACGTCGTTGCGTATTGTATTTCTCTGCAACTACACATCATGGGATATTCCAAAGCCGTACCAGCCCTCTTTCAACGTTAGGACGCAGACCTGTCACCTCAACTCCTTATATGGAAAGCGAGAGAGGCCAACATGCGCTGCGAAAGCTCTTTTGCATCGTCGTTTGTGTGCATGCATCATGGAATCGGAGTATCGTGAGAACCCCTTATCTGTCCCCTCCACCTCGGAAGTCTCCTCGCAGCCACCGCTCGAAACAAAAACACGTTCCGGTGAGGAGCCGAAAATGGCAAACACGAATAATGACACCGTTGCCTGCTCAAATTGGTTTCCGCAGTCTATGTATGGAGCTGAGGCAGCGATGCGCAGTAAGAAATGTGCGTCATTCCTTTCCCAGTGGGATTCTGTAAAAGCAATACCGCGCCAAATTGATGCCCGCACAATCAAACTTTGCTTTAAATATAAAAATGGGATCAGTGCAATCGTAAAAATTGAGCAGTTGTCATTTCCTCTTGAACCCCATGCAGAGTATGGCGCCTATGTAACGTCACTACTGTTGGGGCTTGGCATGGTGCCGCCCACGGAACTTCTCCGTGTGCCAAAATCGATCATTCGCAAGGCGTTAATGGCCGAAACGGATGCGACTGAGCGGCGCTTTTTTCAGGACGAACTGCCATGGATTCGTGCCCCAAATAATTTGGACATGTTAACTGTAAGTGTGCAGCTGTGGGTGCCGGATGGCTTGGTTTCGTTTGGCAATGCGGTGCCGCCCATCACACGGCACACCTTTGACTTGTGGTTACAAAACAAACAACACAATAAAACCGACTTTGCCACTGATAAGGTGATGTTTGATGTTGCAACCATGTTGTTTTTTGACTACATCATAGCCAACGAGGATAGAAGTTTTACTCATAATGCCAATGTGATAGTAAAAGAGGGTACAACACAGCTTGTCCTCCTTGATCACGGCAAGGGCCTTCATAGTGATTCAGCGGAGGTGCAACAAAATCCTTATTTTTCTTCAAGAAATACGGTTGCTGGGGAAGCGGGGGCAAAGCCAACGCCCATGTGTAAGCTACCAAAGTTTATATTGCGTCAGGCGTTGTGTCTTTCTGGGAAACGCTACAAGCCATTTTTATCCCTCTTGCCGCATGGTGGTGCGGATGGGGATGATAAAATATCCAACAGTCAAACCCTGGCAGGGCAGCTGCTGCGTGTCACGCCGTCGAATAACGTCTCATGGAAAGTGCTAGAGAAGAACATTCTGGCCGTACAACTTCGGTTGGAGAAGGCCCTGGAGCATTTTGCAAGGTGTGCGGAGGTGTTTGGATTGTCACATGTCATTGGTGAATGAGGCGCTGGCGTGCCCTCTCTTTTTCTCCCTTTTTTTTTTTTTTTTTTTTTTACAGATTTTTATGTGCTCTCACCTGATTGTGTTGTTGGCGTTACATTGGAGGTAGGGAGGAGAGGGTCTGCCAGCAAACTCGTGCGGCGTGAGCATGCGCAGACCAGCGTTTATCATCATCAGACTTTTTGTGTGTGTGTTTGCTTTATGAATCCTTTTTTTGTCTTTCCTTTGTTGTTGTTGTTGTTGTTGTTTATATTCGCGTGTTTCTTTTTTTTTTTTTTTTTCTCTCTCTCTTTATATGTGTTTGTTTACTTGAGCGCATATTTCAGCCTGAGGTTCGTCTCTCCCCTTTACGAGTCCCCACATGAGTTGTGATGTCGCCATTTTATTTTTCAATTGCTGCCGTAGGCATATTTGATGATGATGATGACGACTGGCGCCTTTATTATTTTTTGTTTGTTTGTTTCCTTTTCTCTCTCATTGTGCCATTATGAAGATTGGGGAAGCTACACATTAAAATAATACCTACAGGTACGTTTACTCAGTGTCCCACGCTTGCATAAATACATACATACGCATTACACACAAATACACGCACGCAAAAGGGGGTAACGGGAAGAGAAGAAGGGCGGTGATGCTTCTTCCCCCGCAGAGGTCAAAAAGGAGTTCCATACCCAGCACCTTCTCTTCTTCCTCCAAGAGCCAGGTGTTGGCGAGGCGAAACCGTATGGTTACACGGGCTCTCATAAAGGGAAGAAGTCCTTTAGGACCGATCGATGGGCCCGTTGGTGGCGTATTGCGGTGCGTTTGCACTGCGTATCTTGTGTCAACGCAGGAGACGCTGTTGGAGTGCCATCGTTGCCGGAATTGGTGTCACCCTGCATGTGTGGGCGTTGACCATGCAGAGTTACGGCGGTATCAGGCGGAGAATAATTATGTGTGCCCTTTCTGCACGGGGCTGCATAAGCGACTCCGTTCTGAATCGCAGGCGCCCGCCCCACGACAACTACCAATACGTCTTCGCGAGGTTCCAGATCACCTGCCATTTGGCTCGGTAACGCGACTACGTCATTTGTTGAAGGTCACGACGCGGGCTGCCCATGAGGCTGGTTTCTTGGTTATTGACCTCCCTGTGGTTTTGCTTACAGATAAAATGGAAAAGGAGTGTCTTGCGTGTTGCGAAGATGCCATTAAAGAAGCCACGTTTTCCGAGCAGTACCCCGCATACTGCCTTAAGGAGGTGCGGGAACAGGCACATTCATATGTTCAAGGGACGTTGCTTCGATGTAAGCAAAGCGGGCGTATTGTCTCCATGGTTCTATCCAATGGAATGGACGTGTACGGGAACCTACGGCATACAATTACACAACTAAAAGGTGGTATAAACCGAGGGATTATTGACAGAAGGCATCAGACAACGTTCATGGCATCCTGCACAAAACTAACCGACATATCTGACTTTGTACACATCACGTTAAGTGCCACACACCGGGAGTACCAGAAAAGAGGACTTGCCCGCATGCTAATGGTGTTGGACCTGCTAAAGTGGGCATTACGAGGTCGTACTCGTGCTTACTTGAATATGGCGCTGCAGAAACGAATTGTCGACAGCGGTACACGTTTGGAGTGCGTGGCGTCGCCGGCATCTCGACGGTTGTATGAGTCCTTTGGCTTTAAGGATGTCTACCCGCGGTTTGATCGCGAAACGGATGAAGCGCGTTGGACGCCGAAGGAGGCGGATATGGGCCGTGTGATGGCACATTTAAGTTTTGTGGAGGATGTTGTTCAAATGGCGATGCGGTACGATCCGGGAAGCGCCAAAGAAGGTGTTAGTAACGGCAAGGCTGCGGCTTCTACCGCCAATATTGGTGGCGGTTTAATTAGCAAGGCAACTCGCTCACCGTCTCCGCCAGTGGTGAAAAAGCGTCTCTCTTTGCTTGGGAAGAGAAGCTGAGGAGGAAATGAAAAGGGTTTCATGGCGGATGTATACTCGTTACTTTGTCTCCCCCCCTGTCTCTCTATCTCTCTGTGTGTGTGTGTGCGTGCGTGCGTGCGTTTGTGTGTGTGGATTGTTAAAATACTTCGTTCATATATTTTTTTCTCTTGTTTTTTTCTTTTTTTTGAAAATTGCATCCACCGATGCATGGGCCTTGGCTGCTGTCGCAGTGGTGGGTGCCATCACCATGACTGCTGTTATTGCGGCGGTCGCCACGTTGTGGGGGATGCGTGGAGCACTTTTTACGTACGGAAGTGGCGATAAGAAGAGGGGGGAAATCACATGAACGAGTGGAATTGAGAGGGAAAAAAAAAAAAAAAAGGAGGCATGCGGGTAGAAAAGAAAGAGAGAGAGAGAGAGAGAGGTATACGAAAAGGAAAAAGGGACATTGGGAGCTCACCGCAGAAAACCAGCATATGCATATAATTTATACATGCGGTTTTTGTGCCAAATGATTACATGATTCTTTGCCTTTTGCTCGCTCTCTTTTTTTTACATCTTTCCTTCTCCGTGTGTCTGTGGATGAATAAAATATGGTGTGGTGAAAGAATAATGAATTACCGTCGAATCGCAACCGATATTTTCTTTTGATAATAAGACCTCATCCTTCCTTCCTTCCCTCCTTCCTCTTTTTTTTTTTTTTTTCTGGCGGTGTTGCTACACGTCAGACACACTCACAGAAGTGGAGAGGTGTTCTTTCCATTTTTTTGTTTATTTGTTTCCCCCCTTTTTGTTGTTTTTTTTTTTTCTTTCTGTGTGTGTGTGTGTGTGTCGCTTAGAAAAGCATAGCCGAGAGAAGTGGGTATTTTTAGAAAATGCGTCGGTCGTCGCTCTTTTGGAAATCAAAAACATTGGCGCAGATGTTTCGCAAGCTGAAGCTCGCGGGTGCCCATCCGGATGTCGTGTGGGCCGTTGACGCGCAGAAGGCACAACACAATGGCGAGGAGATGATTCGCCTGGAGACAATGATGCACCGACGGAGTTCTGCACACAGCAACAGTCACGGGCCTCAGAGAATCGCGGAAAGCTTTACATTTTGGCTAACCGAGCAGCAGGAAGCCCATCACGGTAGGCGAGCCACAGCGCTGCGGTCTGTAACGTGCACCATCAACCCAGCCGCCCCAAACAATACTGTGAAGCAGCAGCTGTCGCAGCTTTTTCGCGATGCTGGCATCTATGAAGATTTTGATATCGATGGCACGGGAGTTGAGATGAACCTCGAGTCGGTATTGCGCCATGCAGACGAGCGACAGAACGAGCACCTCCACCAGTCTGGTGTCTTGTATATCCGTGGAGACAAGGCAGTTGAAATGCTGCGGCGTTTTGGCGTTCTTCTTATCGTTGAAGAAAATGGCATCACGTACCTCGTAACGTTGCCGGAGATGCGTCCTCAACCGCAACAGCAGGAGCCCCTGGACCGCTCCTCTTCCACTTACACGCCGGCAAAGAGTCTTGTCGGCCCCAATGGGGAAATTGACCCGGATGTTCAGGAATATATGCGTGAACGTGGCCTTCGCGCCTTTGATTTGCGCATGGCCGGGAGTCATTCGTCAGTGGAACGCTTCGTCTCCGCCTTTGAGCGGCTTGAACGAATGTATGATGTGCACCGCGGCCGATCGATGAGGCCGTGTGTGTGTATTGTCTTCTCTCTCAAGTCCCCGGATAACTATGTGGCGGAGGACGGCTGCATTGTTCTTTCCGTGCAACGCATGCCAGCATGGGAGGAGTTTCTCTTAACCCTCCCGCAGGAGGTGTGGCAGAATTGTGTGCAGATGCACCGTGACTGGCGCATTGGAAACGCCCCAAAACTGCGGGCGCGCCAACGACAACTTATGAAAGTCGCAGACATGTTTCATTTTTTTCGCCTGCAACTGGACTCTGGTATCGGGTCACGGGTGGACTGGCAAGAGGCGTTTATCCTCCGACTGATGAAGGAAGAAATGATGATACGCAATACCGTGCGGAAGTATAATTTGAAGTCGGAGCTTTTGAAGAAGCGAGGAGAAATTCACGTGGCATTCACTCTACGTAGTGCGGTGGATCCTACGAAGGAGATTGGATACCGCATCGGTGGCGATGGTCGTTTGTTCTTCAATTTCAGCACGATGACCACTGGGCAGATGCTGCGCGTATTAAAGGACAATCTCCATCGTCTTGAGGAATTTCAAAAGCAGCACGACAACGCCGTGGCTACGCTTGAGCATCTGAGCCGTAGTATCCCTGTTGACTTCAGTGTTGACACCGAGTGGAAGTTACGGGAGGAGGGGAACCTTGTGAACTGCCTGCAGAGATTTGTTCACACAATAAAGGCAAACCAGGCACAGTTGACGGCCTTTTTGACGATGCTTCTGAAGAACAGCACGATGTTAGGTGTGCCGAAGAAGCGCATGGTGTGGATCATATCCGCACGGTTTGATACGATGCCGAGTGGAGTCGTGTTTGTGCCATGGGACGTCGATTTTGAGTCCATTAAGAAAAACCTTCTGCCGAGGGGCTAAGAGAGAGAGAGAGAGGGATGTCTGTACCGTATGGCATGACGAGGGGAAGCGATTGGACAAGGAGGGGGCATTTGTTGTTTTTTTCCTTTTTTGCTCGTTATTCACGTTGCTTTTTTTTTTTTCTTTTGGGTGATAACATGACCCCTGGGCTTCTACCCAACGTTGTGCGTGCAAACGTGTGTACATATGTGTAAATGTGTGTGTATTTTTTGTGTGAATACCCGTCTCTACCTGTTCTTACGTGCGTACGAATCATACAACTTAAAGAAGAAGGGATGATGCCATGCCGCTAGCAAGGCGCTACTTTTATTATCTCAACGAGCGTGGTCATTTGTTTCATGTGTTTGATATCAAAGGACTTGTTGAGCACACCCGTATGCCATCTGGTCCCACGTACCTCCGTGACCGGTCTTTTCTAGACTTCTTCTACCGACGTTTACAACACAACAGTTTGGAGCAGTGTGTCGCGGATGGTGTGATGTGTAAGAATGGGACAGATGTGATGTGTCTGGATGACGGCACCTGCTTGGCACCGCAGGAGTTTCTACGGCATTTCCCGTACGTGAGTCTCTGCGGGATGGAGAGGAATTTTGTGAAAGTGCAGGATTCCCCCGTTGTGTTTACAGATTACGAGTTTATCTGCAAAGAAGAACAATTGAGTGGTGTTCTTCTGTTTGCTGGGTCGCTGCAGGAACCATTCCAGCCTGCCGCTCTCACCGTCACGCGGGAGGGGAAATTATTTCATCCAATCACCACATTGAAACGCCTGCAACGCGGTACGTCCATCGCTGAGAATAAAGGCCTTGTTGGGGCGCAAGTGAGTTTGAAGCTGGGATTTGATTTTGTCTGTGAGGAACTTGACAACGACGGGCAGTATGTCATTAGTTGGGGAGGAAAGAAGCATTTTATTCCCTATGTGGCTCAGTGATAGTGTGTGAGTGGTGGGTGTACGTGTCTTTGGGTAGAAGGACGGAATGGAGGGAGGGGGGCAGGAATTGGCGGGCCTTCCGATCTTGTGGCGAGAGCGCTGGTCGCTTTTTTTTTTTGCTTTTTTTTTTTTTTTTTTTTTTTTGGCTTGTGTTTATTTATGTGTGCATATGTCGTCTCTTTTCCTTTTCTCTTTTTTTTTTTTTTGTTTGTTGTTTTTCTTGTGTGTGTGTGTGTGTGTGTAATTCCTTTCCATTGTGCGTGTTGTTGTTTTTACTTTTAAGTTCATACATTCTGTTAGGGAGGGAGAGGGAGATTGAGTGAGAGGGGGAAAGATAGAGGAGGAACGCGGTAGGTCTGCAGGGCGGCTGCAGGAATTGGGCAGGCGCTTTTTGTTTGTTTGTTTGTTCTTTTCTGTTTTGCTTGAGAAGTGTATATACATATACATATTTATATTTATATTTATATTGTATTTTATTCTATTAGAGTCCTTGAAAAGAAAAATGAGCGATGGGAATAGACGGATTGTTCCTGGGACGCAGCTTTGTTACCGTGCGCTTTATGCAACCATTGTGGGGGATCAGCCGAATGATTGCCTTCCAGGCACCACTGTAAAGATGAGCAGTGATGGACCCATTCTTGTTGACCATGTCATGCGTGTTGCGAGACGTTATGTTGGCGGTAATGCGACCAGCAAAATGCACCAAGTCGTAGCATTTGCGGGGATGGATAGCGCATCCAAGGCCATGAAAGCAGAGTTGGTCTCTGCAGTCGAGGAGTTGCGTCGTCAGAACCAGCAATATCAGCGAGAGTTGGAGACACGAACACAACAATTGGAACTGCGAAAGCAAGAGGTGCAGACACTTCAGAACAAATTGCGTGTGGTGCACAGTGAAGCCAAAAAGCGCGGCTATAATTTCCGTGACTTAGCTGACCGTGGGAATCAACGAGGCGTGGAGCATAAAAAGTCATTTGACACGGACAGACACCATGGCGGGCGCGATTCCACGCCACCGCGTAGTTCGAGAATTGGTAGCGGTATGGGAGGAACCGGAGAATACACGCGTCCGCCACTCCCACCGCTGCGTGTAGATGACGCACTATCCTCAACGGCCGTCCCGCCGCCGTCACCGTCACTTCAGACATTCCAGCTGAAGCACTCGCATTCCCCTCCGTCTTACAGTCAAGAATCACGGTTGGTGGCCCCCAATGGGACGGCAAATGCGGCTCCCTCTTTGACGTCGCCTGCTTCTCTGGACGGCGGGAGCGTGGCTGAAAATGGTGGCGGCAGCGACATGAGTGTGAGTGCTTCTGTCAGCAAGAACGCTCTCCCACAGTTGGGACTGGAGGAAGACGTTAGGGGAAATTGCAGGGACGTCGAGTCGGGGTCTTTGGACACGACAGAAGACACGCCTGGGAACCATCCTCCACTGACTCGCAAAAACGGTGCAGGAGCCCCTATTCTACCGAAGCAACTCCTCCATGAAAGACCCGGAGCGATGGTGTTCTGCCACCGCTGCCGACTCTTCCTTGCCCCCCACCCTGTTAGCGTGACGAACCACTTGCAAAGTGAGGGCCACCAGAAAAGCGCCAGCGCTTCACCAGCCTCTGGGACAACGTACACGCAGTTTGGAAAGCTGGTGCAGAAAATGCCGCCATTTATTGAGCCTATTACGGTGGTTTCAGACGAACAGAAACGGAAGGTGACGGCGGCCGGAAATAATTTTTTTGAAGGCGGGCTTGACATTGTGAATTCAACCTGCTCCATTTGTCAGGAAATCATCACCACGCAAAGCTACAAAGTTCATGAATCTCTTCCGGCACATCGTCGACGTGCGGCAGAAATGAAGGCTGACCCTGCGGTGTAGTCAGCCCGCTTCGGAAAGTAACAGGGCGACGGGTACACGACTCCTCGATTGCACTCACCCACCCACCCCCTCAAATTCCCCTTGAGAAGGGAGGGAAGGAAAGAAAGAAGGACGGACAGGATTTATCTCTACATTGATTTCCCATTGATTTTCTTGTCATCGCCTAAAGAATGGGAGGAAACGGAATTGTCAAATGAAGAAGCATGACACACGATCGTTATTCCCCGAGACTTCTTAGCATCGTCGCCGTAAAAATAAAAACAAAAAAAAGAAAAAAAAGAAAAAAAAACAAAACAAGATTGAAGTAAATAATGATGATGAATCCGTTGGTGTGCTATGACTTGTTGGTGGTGGTAACTGGAGGCCGATTGGTGAGAACGAAAATCAAAATATCATTTGTTTGCTTTGGTTTTAGACTTGTCCTTTTTTCCCCCCTTCATCCCACCTTTCCCACCTTTTTTTTTTTTTTTCTTTTCTCATCTTTTTTTTTTTTTTTTTTTCGTTTCTTTTTCTGTTTTTGTTGTTGTTGTTTTTGCTTTTTTTTTTCTTCTTTTTGGTCATTCAAGGAGGTATCGGGATTGCTGTACAAAGGAAGGAATTGGACCGTGGATGGGGTGGGGTGGGAGGAGAGTCTTATGAAGGCCGTGAGTACGACACGTAGTTCCCTAATTTTGGTGCAGTAGTATCACCCATTTGTGTGTCTCTGTGTATATGCGTCCGTGTGTCTGCCTCTGTGTGTGTGTGTGTGTGTGTGCATTGGCATCGCTATTATCGCTCCTGCTGCCGCCGTGCGATAACCCGCATTCAGAAAATGCGGTGCAATCACTGCACTCCACAATCATCGTCGTTTGTTTGCTTGTTTTTTGTTTGTTTGTTTTGTTTTGTTTTAAGGATCTGCGTGTGTGTGTGTGTTGTGAGTTGGGTGTTTGATACACGTGTGTGTCCCGTTATTACAAGGAGATATTTCAAAGTCCCTCATTGTTATTATTATTATTTAGTGGTGGTGTTATTTTATTATTATTATTATTATTATTTAAAAGGGGGGTTTCAGTCGGTGTTAAAACTTGACGTTCTCATGCTCATATCCATAGACTTTGGTGTAGACATTGGGAAGGATGAGCGGGAAGCGTTTCAAGACAAGCTGCATTTTTTTGTCTCTGGGCATGAGAAGATGCTCATGGAGATTGAGCAGACATTTGACTGCCGCTGGGATCCCGTGTTGTGGGACCCGCACACGGACACCGTCTCGCTTCAATTGGGTGCGCAGGCGGCGCGGCAGGGACAACTCACCACCTCCATTGCCGACACTTTAGGGCGCAGCCAATTGCACAATCGTCTCTTTTATCGTATCACGCTCTGTTTTGCTGGTCTTGTTCTGGAGATGGACGCCCTCACTGACGAGGCGTTCGATGTTTTGATTCCGCCCCTGGCGATGTTTGGGGACGACAGCTGCCTTGAAGTAGACATTACGGATGAGGAGGCACAACGAGGCGCTGGTCGTATGTTGGGTTTGCTCCAGGATCTCTGGAGGTGGGTGCAGCGGGTGAGGCGGGTGGTACAGCAGACGGTTCGGCAGTTGGCTGCCCTCTACTCGCCCTTGCGTGAGCGTGACAAATACCGCCCATTTACGCATGTGCGTTTTTTGCGCGTGTGGCGTTCCCTGACAGACATTTTTTCCGCCCTGTTGAGTGTGGAGGAGGTGCTGCAGACGCATGACACCCTTCTTCATGGTCTCTCCACCTATCGCAAGCTGCTTGCGCATGTGTCTAGGAATCGTGATAAGTTTGATTGCGATGATAAGACGATGGAATTGTTCTGTCGGTTGCTGAATAAGATTGACCAGGAACTACTGGATGACGGGGTTCTCCAGCGTTTAGTTATGCAATCCTATGAAGTACCAGAGGAGCAGGTGTCAGTGACGACAAATAAGAGGCTTTGCGCCGAGTTCACGGAAGTCCTGGATCACTTGATATGCACAGTGGAGGAAAAGGTGGGAACCCCACGGGAGGGTAATGCACGACGGCAGTACATTGGTATTCTTGGAATGTACTATTTCCACCTCCATCTGTTTCAACAGGCAGCAAACGAGGTGACAAGACGTGATCTGTGTAAACGGGTGTTTCATCTGCATCTTCGAATACCTGTTATATATATTCATGGTTTCCATTTGTTTCGCCCTTTTATGTGGTTGTCCCGCCGTGTGCCCGACGAATTAAACCGTCACCTGCGGGATCCATCCAAAGAAGGAATCTCTGCTATTAAAAAGGCATGCGAAAAAAGTGGTGTGGAGTTCTTGCCACAGTTGAATCAACTGACCACGTCGGTAAGTGCATGGATTGCCGAGATGGAAACCACCCTTCCCGTGGATCCGTCACACTACAAGGCATTTCTCCACGATACTGCCCTGTTGTTGCAACGCGGTATACTTCTGGCGGAACACATTCAACGACTTGTTATTGATTATATCGTGCTGCACAACTGTGCGGACGTTGCGATCCCCCTTCAGCACGTTGATTGTGTTTCCCATGGAGTTGAGCTGCTCATGATGATTCGGGCCGCTTTCCATGCCAAGACGGGGGTGATCGCGACAACATACAATCTGCTGATAAGTTCCATTACATATGTAATGGAGCGACATCTCTATGAGATGTACTTGCGTTTTGGAGATGTCATTCAAACGAGTTCAGAAGACGTGACGGATCAATACAGTGCTATTCGGCAAGCTATCGCACTCCTCCATAAACCACAGACAGCTGAAAATCTGGTGTGTCTTGACCTTGTCCTTAGTACCGCCTTTAATCGGTGTCAGGTGGAGAAGGATGGCTCGGTTGCCATGGCACAAAAGAAGTACGAGGATATTTTAATTGCCTTTTCTCAACTTCATCGATTGGTCTTCTATCAGAGAAGTTTACGTGTGGCCACTGATTGTGATTTCTTGTACTGGCATCGGGAAACGTTTTATCCTCTCTTCTTTGAAAGAATGTATCAGCGTCCGCTGGGGTCAAACTATTTGCCGTATCTTCTCATGGCCATGCATGACTGTCGAACATCCATTCTCTCATCAAGGCATGTAGAGGATACTCGTGCTCTACTCGATGCGTACATCTCCTACATACAGAAATGTATTCAAAATCATTTAATTAAAACTCTTTGTATAGACATTGAGAATGATCTGCGGTTGTATACGCATTCCGTGGTTCTGGGCCAGCCATTCCGTAAGGTGGATGCGGCGGGGGGAAAATGTGATGTTGGATGTTTCACACGCCTACCACCTCTTCGTTTCTTTTATGAATGGCTTCACATCGCAACCGAGGTGGAACACTATCTGGATGCGCAGTTCTACAACCTTAATGCACTCATGGCAAATGATTGGAAAACTTACGAGGAGATGCGGAATTTGGCGTTAGTACGTTATGGGCTACGCATATGTGATGGGTACTTGCCTGGAAGTATTGTGGATCAAGGATTGGATGTTCTTGTAATTACAGAGAATATTCAGGTGTTTGTAGCTAATTATACATACAATATGAACGAACAACTCTTTGTGCAGCGACCATCGACAACGGAATCCAAGCATCTTCACACACTACATATTCGTCATATTGCCAACTCTATTCGAACCCATGGCACCGGCATCATGAACACAACCGTCAATTATGTCTATAAATGTCTTTTGAAGAAGCTTGCGATTCTCTCACAGTTCCTATACGATGACCATGTTAAATCGAGGCTTATAAAAGACGCAAAATTCTTCATTGCACACAAGGAGGAACTTAACGGAGAGTACCCGCTTTCACGAGCAGAGAATTTCATCCGAGAGATGCACAAGTTGGGTGTTGCAGATGATGGGCAAACGTTCCTGGACAAATTCCGTCACCTTGTCTCTGAAATTGGCAACGCACTTGGGTACATGCGGATGATGCGTAGTGGTGGGCTTCGCGCCATCGCGGATGCCGCTGTATTCATCCCTTTTATTGACAATGTTGTTCGCCTGGAGCGTGTCATTGACCCAGATGCCATTGGAAGCGACGAGGACGAAGAAGAGGTGGAAATGATGAAGGAAGAAGGCATGGATGAGGAGGTATATAAGGCACCACCCTCCACAGTGGAGGCCGTTCGCGTTGTTGATAGTGTCATTCACAACATGCGCATGAAACTGTCGGATGGTTCCGAGTATTTCCGAATGCTTCTTGAGGCGGTGACGAAGCGGCTGAAGGACGCAGATAAGTATGAGCACCTAAGGAATTTCCACATGATTATCCCACCCATCTGCGTCTTACATGTGGAGCTTATGATACGTGAGAAGGAGCAACTTGTTAAAAAGAACAAGGATGGGATATTCACCGATGACGGGTTTGCTCTTGGATGCTCCTTCCTACTTAAATTATTTGGCCTCTCAGACTTGTTCGAATCGCTTCACTGGTTTGAAAGTGTGGGGAAGCACTATGTGGAGCGCCTCCTCGCGATGCAGGAAGGTATTGCAGAACGCACCAAGGAGGCACCGAAGCGAAAGAAGCCTCAGAAAAGAGACGCCTCGCATGAGGAAGAGGAAATCAACAACATGCACCTTACTGCCACAATGGTGGACTACGCTATCCGTGAGTACACCGCCTTGGAAGAGGCATTTGTATCGAGCAAAGTGTTTTTTCACTCCGCCATTCCAGACGGAGAGGATGGAGAAACAGAGGAAGAAGAAGGAGAAAACTAAAAAAGGGGTTTAGTGAAGATGTCTGTTTCTCGTGTCGTGCTTTTTTTGTTTTGTTTTTTGTTTTTTGTTTTTTTGTTTTTTTTTACCTTGCATGAATATGAATGCACGCTTATCTCTTCTGTGTTACTGTACGCGTTTTTTTTTTTTTTTTCTGTGACGGCGTCTCTCCCAACATCCCATTTGTTATTTTTGCTGATTTATCCCTCTCTCTCTCTCTCTCTCTGAGCCGCCGCTTGACCCCGAGCGTGTAAGAGGGGAGAGGGCGAGACGAGGCGGCGTGGGGAGTTGCAGGGGAGGTGGGGATCGGGAAGAAGGGACACAATTCGAACCAAAACGAGAGGAAATGTTGTCACGCAACACATGGATCCGCGTCATGACCCCTCGAGTCGCGCTCACGACGTTGGGACTGCCGTCATCTTCCTTGTCGGATATTTCACACGCCCGGGTGAAGAAGGCGTACATTTCGCAGACGCTGCGTTGTCACCCCGACCTGCACCCCGATGATCCCGACGCGACAGAGAAGTTCCGGCGTCTCTCAGAGGCCCTCCGTGTGGCGTTGAAATCACTTGAAATGAAACTCCATGCGGGGATGACAATTAAAAATGTTCCTTTGGACGATTCTCAAAGCGTGCTGGATGCGCTACGTCACGCCATCGCGGCGTACCACCACTGCAGAGACGCCACTCGCAGTGGTGGCGGTGTTGGTGTCGAGGCACATCACGCGGAGGAGCGACATGACTCATTTTCGTCTCATTCATTGGAATATGTCTCGTTCGTCTGCCAACGGGAGGCTCTCGCCATGCGACGTGTGAAACAGTTCTGCGAAGAGCTTCCAGAGGTGCTTTGTGGAAAATCATGTGTCCTTTTTGAAGCAGTGGCATTCTTTAATGCTCGCTATGTTGAGGCGATGTCTCGTTGCGTTCTGCGCTTTTCGAAGAATCTCCCCATCATCGTCAATCGGGTGGTAAAGGGGCGGAAGAAAACTGTGCGCTACACGCGGAACCAGGCAAACTCCGGGTTCGGGACAGGCAGTCGACCTTGCCAGCAGCGCATTGAGGACATGGCAATGAAGCCACTTGTTCTTGTTGGGGCTCTCCTCTTTAGTCAGAAACCGAAATCAAAATCAGAGGCTTTTGCTGCACAGAGTCGTGAGGATGGCCAGGCGTCATTCGACCCCCACGAGGAGGTTAAAAGCACGTGTGGTGTGATGTCAGAAAAGGAAATAAAAATCTGTGAGGAATTGAAATGCACCATTTACCCCTCCGATTCAATTGGTGAGATCACAGAGAAAATTGGAAGGTGGGAAGCGACGAGTTATGAGAGGTTGCAACTCGAGTTGGCGATGGTAGATACCACCTCTTTGCTTTCTGGTATGTTGGATCTGACTGAACACCCCCTGACCGTCATGCATCACCTGCATCTGCCAAAGGAGGTCTCAGAGAAGGTTTCTCTCACGCTGCAAAAAATTGTGTGTGGGTTTTGCTACCATTGCGATGAACCCACTCATGAAAATCGGGACGCGTGTGATAGTGATCAAGGGGGAGAAGAAGAGCAAGTTGATGAAAAACGGATTGCGGATGGAATCCGTCGTTGCCAGCATTTGGCTCGTGTGACCACGTCGTATATTGAAGGGAACATCACTTTGATTTGGGACAGTGAGACCCCGTTAGTAGAGAGCACCGAGGAGGTGGCTGTAGGGGACGGAGACGACCTTTTCTGGAGGTGTATCAAAAGAGATGAGATGAATCAAGACATTGTAGTCACGCGTCACATGTCATGTTGCACGGCTGAAATGATAAGATTTTATGTTGCCGTCAAGTTATCCAAAGACGTTGGAGAATTTCTTAGTCGTTTGGTAGCTGCCATGGAAATTGTGAAGGAGCAAGCTGAGTATGCCCATTCTTTACTGCCACAACTACTTGCGATAAGGGAAAAGGTGGTGAATGAGGAATTCATTCCACGTGAATCAAATCCACGCTGTGATGAGAATACATCTCCCTTGACGGAAGGGAGGGAAGAGGAACAAGGAAAGAGTGGAATATGTCAGGCACCAAGAAAAGAAAAAGAAAATTGGGCTTCAACTACAGAGTTGACACACTCAAAAGACTCCGATTGTTTTGTCGAACACGCTCCGTGTGAGGATAATAATGAGGAAGAGGCGAAGAAGCACATGGGATATCTTTATCGAGGGACAATTCGTTGCTTTCCGCGTGTATTCTCCATGAGTACTGCACAGGAACTAAAGTACTGGCAGATGTTGCATGAGAACCGCATCTATTTGGCGCAACACGCTCCTGCTATACATCCCATTAATGTGTATTATAATTGTCTACCGTATAAGCCACATCCAAATGCCTTGCATTCTGAAAAAAACTCCTTCAATGAAGAATTAATTGGAGGATGGATGGGCGAAGCGGAGGATGGGGCAGATGACGCTGTTATCACACACAAGGAGTTGGAAAGCGGCTCCGCATTCCGCGAATGGCTAGAAGACGTTGTGGAGCAGTCTTCGCTTAACAGTGAATGCCATCGAATCGTGGACGAGGCTGGAGTTGGTTATGTCATGCGAGATCCCGCACTTCCACTCCCGCAATATCTTTCATTTGTGAAGGTGTTCTGCGCAGCAGCGGGGGTGCGTGGGATTCTCGAGGGCAAAGCGGGTAAGACCCGCACGGTTACCCCGGAAGACACGGGTTTGGTGATTGTTGTCGGTACAGAGTGTGATGTGCGAGATGGTGGCCGTCTGCTTGTGCCATGGTGGATGGACCCATCTCTTCTCCTGGCATTACTGCAGGACGACTGTCAAGATGAAGTCAATTTGATTGAAGATGGCGCGGACGGGTTTCTCACAAAAAAAAAAAAAAAAGTTCAATGATTTAAATATGGATAATAAATAAGCAAAAGAAAGTATGTTTTTTTCTTTTTTTTTTTGTTATTCCTCACAAAAGAAACTCAATTGGACTGCCTCTCAGTAAAAAGAGCGCTCACGCCGTACAGGTTGGGAGCCTTTACCCCTTTATTTTATTTATTTATTCTTTTTTTCTGAGGTTTGAGGATTATGACTTCTCTCGCCCTCTCTTTCATCGAGTGCGGGGAGGGAGGTGCCTGCGCCTTTGCTGCTGCTTGTTTTGCCGTTTTGAACATCCGTTCATTGGCTTTTGGCGTTCCGTCGTCTTTTTTCGCGGTACTTTTTTAGTTGCAACTTTGGGGGTGGCGGTCCACGAGGAAAACGATGGAATGGCAAAAGAGCCTCCGGGCCCACTGCGCGATAAAAGTTCCCCACGCCAACGGGGCTAAGAGCAGCGCGCGCGCCTCGGCCTGCATGATGAGAAAAGGGCTCTCCTTCCACTCCCCTCCGGCAATTTTAACATCGCCGGAGTCTGGAATAAAAACGGCCCTCCATCCATGGAGCGACGCATCCGTGATGATGGCGGCAGATGCCTTTTCAGTGGGCTTGATGACTCACACACAATTATTCTCGATCGTGTGTCGTAAGCCCTCGCCCAAACCAACCGCTGCCGGCGGAAGCTTCGCCGGGGATGTCTCCATCACAATCCCCCGGTTAAGTGCCGATAAACGTCGTCGTACTGCATTGCTGAAAAAGTGGTGGTCATATAAACGCGTGCCCAAAATGGCCGCCGCGTACAAAAAGGCGTGACGCCGTAACCCCCATTCCCGCGACGGTTGAAGAATTGAGCGACGGCATGGCGCATACAAGCCGGATAAACTTGTCACTCAGGAACACCGGACGGTGAGTGTGATCAAACCGCACCCCAGAAGGGCGTACGGCGCAGCGCCCGATTCGCGGACCTCCCCCATCGTGGCGTGACGGCCGGCCGCATCACGAAGCACCTGGGCCTCCCACAATGTCGCACCGCCTTTCGACCCTGCAATGCGTGCATTATCGACCCAAACGCCAACACAGACCAATGGAGGTGCGGCCCAGAGGGAGTGAACCACCGGCGTCGCCCCGCGAATGCCGAGCTAATAATGATCCGGAGAATTTCTGAGCCGGCGTTGTGTCCCATTGGGAGCCGTGCCGGCCCCGCCAGCGCGCCGTCCTCCACGCGGCACCGAAAGAGATGCCGAGTCCCCTGCGGCAAAGAGGCTATGAAGGACGCCTTGGGACCCAGGCGGGAAGCGGCCTCAGCCACCACAGGCGGCAAACAATGGAAAATGTGTGAAAGAGGAGCATTGGCCTCGCAAGGGTCGTCTCTGTTCTTGTCGCGCGGCCGCGCGATCCATCGCAGTCGTGAGGCGGTGGTTTTCTCCTCCACAACCAAAAAAGGGTATTATCCATCAGCCGCTTTTTGTAGACGAGGCGTCCTCGACCATCCCCGCCTCCTCCCCCAATCGCGCGCCGGTCGCCGGAATCCTCCGTGAGCTCCCGCGCGCTTTGCCGGAGGAGGAAAGAGGAAAAGCGAGCCGCCCGACGGGCCCCCATACTTGCATGAGCCTCTCCAAGGTGGCCGGGTTCAACCGGCTTCTGTTCCGCCCCAGGTTCAGTACGGGCACGTTGAGTTGCTGTAGCGGGATGGCTCGTTCCTCTTGTGGAGGGGCCGAACGCGTCCTTGGCGCGCCTTGCGGTTTTGACAAAATAATGATAAAAATCATGGAAAAACGCCCTTCCGCTCTCAACCAGGGATCCTGTCCTTCCGCGGTTTCTCCCTTCGCACCCATGCGGCCAGCGACGACACCTGGGTCGGCATTGTGGTGCGCCTCCCCAAATATCGAACTGTGTCCCGGAAAGGGCCGGACGAGTCGGCGTGTCCCGCCAACTGCGAGGCCGCGTGTGGGTCCGAAGCGGGCGCCCCCACAATCGGAGCAGCGTGCCGCAGCGCACCCCGTTTTGTGGAATGCGCCGTGGCATTCTAAGGAGCCACAGCTCGTCCGACTTGGGCAGTCCTAGGATTCGTGAGCTTTTCGTTGTGTCGAAGTGCCCTGCACAACTTTATGGTGTCGGGCGCGTCCTGCTCTCGTACCCTGGCGGGCCTCGAGGCGCGGTGGGGATCCGCCCTCGCCGTCTTCGGCGCCGCGGGCCCATCCAAAACCATGGCCCCGTCCGGCTCCAGCGTGAAATTCTGGGAGTCAAGACCGCAATCTCGGACAAACGGCTCGCCGGCATCCACGCGAGTCGAAAAGCAACCCGTTGCTTGCCATCGGCTCGGCAGCGGATACGCCGATCCACCCCTTCCTTTGTCGAGGGGGCGCGCCCGCCTCGTCTCTGGTCGCGCCGCAATTTTTTGCAACCCCAGAAACGCCATGGCCAGCGTGCCCCGGTTCATTTGCGACATGGGCCGCGGCATCCTGGCGTGCTGCGGTCGGGCCGACGGCGCCACATCCAATACTGCCGCCAAAAGGCCGCGCGGCTCTTCTCGTCCATTGGCTGTTCGTGCGTGAGGCAAAAAACATTGCAAATCGTCTCGTCAGGGGCGGTCCCTGCTCCCACTTTGGCGGCGCCCACATTTCTCGAGCCACCCCGCTCGCTATCCTCACATAGCCGGCCCAAAGCAGGGATGCCGGCGATCCGTCGTGCCACAGTCAAGCGCCGCTGGCGCATAAGCTCCATTGCCCTTTTCGACGATTGCGTCGGGCAATCTGAGGGATCGGATGGGGCGTCGGCGGTGCGGTGCGACGCCTGCGAGCCTTGGCGGGGGATGGCGGAATGGGTGCGGCCGCCGTCGTCCGCCTTCGCCGCTTCTTGACGACCACCCGCGCCTCGGAGTTTGCATGCAGACACGTCGTGCCCATAAATGCGACACAATCGGCATTGCAGCAATCGTTGTTTTTGCGTCCGAGGGCAGACGCGCAGTGCGGAGAGCAGGACGCTGGGCTCAGTAGCCATCATGATCTGCGACCGGAAGTCCTGCATTAGTGCCCCGCCAATAGCAATGAAACCACCGGTGGGATCCCGATCCATCCCCAGCGCGCGCGTCCACAAAACCAAGCCGTCAGAGGCAATTCGAGCCAGAGCGCCCATCTGGCGCCAACAACAAGCGCATGCGCTCCGGAGGGCGGCGAAGGATCCGGAGACGCCCTCATTCCACACACGCGGGCCAGAGCAGCGACGTCGAACGCAAGGAAACGCCGCTCCTCTTCTTCTGAACCGGGGCATCTTCCAAGCGGGAGGTGCGGGAAGGCAAGGGCATCGAGCGAGGGAAATGCGTTCTCCCCGGACAGCCCCGAGGCCTTCGGTTGTTGACCTGCCTTCTGCCTCCCGTGAGATTGGGCTGGGCCGTGGACACTGAGACGCCCCAGGCCGTCAAACCACGCAGCTGATATGGCCGTGTGTTTCCGCCATCCGCGGGCATGCGTAGGTGGGGGTCTGTCTTGCAGCCCTCCCCGACATGTGGGCGCCTCTCGCCGGCACGGCGCCCCTGCCTTCCGCGGGCGGGCCGCCAAACACCGCAGTGTTGGATTCAAGCGCCGAGCAGTAGCTGAGCGACTCCACCATCTGGGAGTAAAGCCGAGTGTTTCGACGCTCTACGTTCGTAACGGTGTTGGCGCGGTCGGCGCTCAAACGCACCCTTCCAGCAACGATCGGTCCTCGCCGCGCCCCCAACCCCCGGGCCGTCCCCGCGATGGGCAAGAGCACTTGGGTCTCTAAAATTGGTGCTTGAGGCGCCCGGCAACTCGCAAGGCGCCCCGCAAGGGTCGAATTTCCCCACTGTTCGGAGCCGCTTCCCGAGGCCAAACGTAAGCGCGTCCCTGTTGCGCCGACGGTTGCCACCGCGTCGGCCCGCCTGCGTTCGCCGAAGAAGGTGAGCCGCACCCGGGCGTCGCCATGCGAGCATACCAAGTCCAACGTACGAGCACCGATGTCGCTCCTCCCCGTCGCGGTGTAAAAGAAAACACTGCCATTTCTTTCAATCAGCTTGCAGGGATCCCGAGCGGCTGTGAAAAGTAAAATAATTACAAATCGTCTGGACGCTAACAGTTCCCTGATTCCCTCAATGGCGGTCAACCAAACATTCACAAAATAGAAAAGGATCGTGAAGAAATATCTCCGTTTTACCAGGACACATATACATTAGGGACGCCAGCCTACCTCATGAACATCCTCTTCACAAGCACAAAATAGAATAAAGACATATTTCAGTACTATTCCTTCTTATCGCATGAATTCCTTTAGAAGACCGCGACGGAAGCAACCAAAGGAACCGATAACGTCAAGATGAATATTTTTATTTATGCCGTACCATCCGCCCCCTCTCTTGATTCCCACCCCTGCGGCGGGGTCTTGTGGCTGGAGAGGCCCAAAGTCTGCCACTTAGTAAGCTATAAAAATAGGTGTATCCGAATAGAGCGTTCAACATGTCACGAGAGAGGGACCACCAGAATATATAAATATACACATATATGCGGAGCAAACAACGAGGCTTTGGCAGATCCACTGCCTCTCCGTTTACTCATTCTCCCTTTCCGTCGCATTTTATCTTTATGGAACATTTTGGTGTCCGGCCGACGGCCCAGACGAACAGTTCCTTCCTTTCTTCCTCCTGTTTGCGTGTGTGCCACAGGCACGGTTTGATTCAGGTGGCATTGGCGCCTCCACGCAACCACATCCTTCCGTTGCCGCATTTGCGGGGCAAGTGAGTTTGGGCATCCAGAGCACACACACACACACACGGCCGCAACGAGAGGGACGGGGCGCATCCAAGTACACGCCGCAGTCCTTCACTTCTCTCCGCCGCGACGGAATAGCACTGCGCCTCACAGCGGGTCGTGGCGGGTGGCGTCCCACACTCACAAATGAGGCACGGCGCACAACATCCGCTCCCCTCCGAGTGCAGTCAGCAGGTCGGCGCCCAGTCACCCTCGTGCCATCGCAGAGAGGGGTGCAAAAACAATCGTCGTCGCGGACCATCGGTGCCTCTAGCAGGGAAAAAAAAAAGAAGAAGAAGTGGGGGCATGTCAGCAGCATAGCCGGCAGAGGGACAATCAACAGGACACGGAGACACACAGTGACATGGGACACGGCACGGACGGAAAAGAGAATGCAGTGAATTACCAAAACCAAAAGAAAAAAAAAAAAAAGGAAGTTTAAAAAGAAAAAAAAAAGAAAAACAAAAAGAAAAGTTAAAGAAAAAAGAAGTTTAAAAAAAAAAAAGAAAAAAAAAGCAATTGATTCGGCAGATATGTAATTTCATGTGCCACGCAGCACAATACGACCGTGTTTTTGAGTTTATACATACTGCCCGCACACACACACACAGAAAAACATAAAAAAAGATCGCATTATTCCACCAGCCCACACAACATCACTCACATTTCATGCGGCATCCGGCCTTTTCTTCCACTCCTCCTCTTGTGCAGTCCGTGGGACGCACAGCAGCGGGGCCGGCACCGCGTGTGGGCAACAAAAGCAAACAAAAGAGAGAGAAACACGTCACTCGTGACGGTGTGCAGCAAGCGACCATTGAAAAGAAGAAAAACACACACAGGGGTGCTGATTATTCCAACAGAGCACCAGCAAGAATAAAAAAAAAAAATTTTTTTAAAGCAAAGACAAAAAAAAGTAACCCTGACAAAGTTGAGTAAGTGATGCTGGGAAGCTGCACAGATATTGTTCGACGAAAAGCCGCAATTCCACCCTCCCTCAAACCTCAGCAGAGAGCCGCAGTGCCCCACAGCCCCAGAAGCAGAAGCAACGACACCCGAGACACACACACATGCACGGTGTTTTCAGCAAATTCACCCATGGCCAACAAGTCCCCGAACTTCCCGTGCTCAAGCAAAACGTCAGTGTCTGATGGTGTTGTTGCGTTGGACTCCGATGGGATCATGGTTTCCCCAGGCGTGGTGTTTGTATTGCCCGGTGCGGTGTCGACCGTCTGTGGCACCTCCTTGACGTCTTCAGAAGAAGATTCTTCTCCTTCAGTCCGAGAGATGTTGTCGGTGTCCTCCGCGGATGTCGGTTCGGCGTCACTCTTTGAAGGAGTGAGGCTGCCGTCTGAGTTCATTGTTCTCTCGGAATTTCCGTCCCCCGCCTCGAGGCTGAAACTTTCCTCCGCGCCGGTAGTTACGGTTCCAGTGGACCGCACGTCGTCATTTTCAGCGGAAGGCTCAGTGATTTGTTGCACTTGGTGCTCACCGTTCACTGGTGTAGCAACCGTGTCCATATCCGATGATGCAGCCCCTGAAGACACTGATCCGCCACTCCTGCCATTCGTTCCTCCCTCCTCCTCTGGCTGTTCTGTACCATAACTTTCAGCGGATCCTTCAAAATCAGTGGCCTCCGTTGACTCCTCTGACTGTAATTCTTGTGTCTGCAACTCCGAATCCCGCTGCATCGATTCATTGTCTTCATTCAGCGTGGCTTGCTGAGACGTCTCGCCTTCGGAAAGCTGGGCATTGTCCTCTGAACGAGAATTCCCTGCACTCTCCGTTGCGGTGGCGGGTTCAGGAACAGATGATCCCGCGGCATCCGTGGAAGGGGACGCTGCAGGCACCAAAATATGGACGCTTTTTCCTCGTTGTTCATGAGTATCATCCCCAGTCAATTCCTCATTGCTGGTGGCGCTTTCTTCACTGTTTGACTCGAAAGCAACTGAGACGTCTGTGCCAGCCACCGGACCTGTGGACTGTTTCTCATCACCAAGTGATGGAACAGTGACTTTGCTGGCATGGAGTTCATACAGATCATCTCCAAACAGTTCCTCGTTATACAGCATGACGTTGGTCACCGTCACATGGCCGCCCGTTGCACTTTGGTTCTTACTGTCCCAACCGATGTAGAAGTGTGAAATCCTGTGGAAGTCAAACAGATGGTCATTATAGTTCGTGTTGTGGATTTCCTCTCGATCCACAAGGACAGTCCAAGAATTAGAATTCATTTTTAGTACCACCTGATATGTCTTGTTTGGCTCCCACCCATCGACGAGCTTCGAAGTAGCAGGATCCTCCGCTATGGCCAGCCACTTCTTTTCATGGGTGTACGACAGACCAAAGAGCACCGTGCTTTTGGTGTCATTCATCCTCACGCCCATCAAAGGAATGCTGCCACTCTGCGGCACCTCGTGGATGGACACCGTCGCCACAAGAGTAAACTCGGTGTTAGCAAAGTAGTACGGCACAGTCTGGCCCAATTTGCCAACAGGCCACTCCGCTCCTGCTCCGGGTCCTTTAAACGTCAATCCATTGGGAACCCTTGGCTCCCCATTCGTCACTGTTGCGTTCACGCCGAGGTACTCGTCCCTCCACTCGGTCTGAGTTGAGTTACCGGACAAAAAGCCAACAAGCCTCTCGGTGGGAACACGATTAACGCACATACCCCTTGTTGACACCGAGTCATACCCGGCAGGATAAATGCATGATTGCAAGGCGCTGTCCAAATTTTGCCATGTCTTCACCACTTCCTTTATCCGCTCCAGTTTCTCGGTCAGGCGCACAGCAACAAGATTGTATGATCCGTCACTCTTCTTGTTCTCGTACAGTGAAATCAACTCCTTATTATCCTTTCCTTTCAGCAACAGGGAGCTCGCGGCAGCGTCTTCATCTTCACGAGATACCGGCCCAACATCATACACACGTGCCTTGTCCGTCACCCAAAGATGGAGCCGACCTTTTCCACCTTCATTGTCCTCCTTCGCATACACCGGCGCGGTGATGAGCATCACCTCCTTTCCCTCAATGATTGCGGTGGTGAATCCACTCTGGACGCCGTACCCCTTTCGATTGTGTGAGTTGCCCCACACGCGGGTAATTGGTTGGAAGTGCCCATTCCAATTGACTCCATCCGAAGTGGACCTGTAAACGTCATAGTAGCCTCCAGCACAATGAGCCATCATGAAGAGTTCTTCGCCGTATTCGTATTCTTCCCACTTCACCAGGGTTGGATCCCGGCAGCCCTTACCAGTCATATAGGAAAGCTCCCATTTCTTCCTTGAATTGGAGAAACGCATAGACAGTAAAAAGCTCGTTCCATCCTTGTCTTTGGCCTGCATGGGAAACACAAGCGTGCCGTCACGCAACACAGCACCCGATCCTCCACCGCCAATCAACTCGCTCAAGGAATGAGAATATCCTTTGGGTTCAGGCTTCATCACATGGGTCTCATTCCATCTGATTTGCTTCTTTCCATTTTCTTCAGTGAGAGTTCCCTTCACGAGTAAAAGGCCCCGCTCATTCGTACCCCCAACCTGCGGCCTTGTATGGCTGTAGTTTCCCAGAAGCACGTAAACGCTTTCCTCAAGTACAACCGTCGTTGGTCGCGTTATGCCGTTTCTGGTGTTGATGCCCTCAGACCCTTCCTTTAGAAGATCTGCGCCAAATATACTTGCATTCGTCGTCGAGATCTCCGTTGGACCAGCATCAACATTTAAACCAAGGTACTTTGACGCAATCCCAGTAAAGCTGAATTTGCTGCACTCGCCTCCATCCTTGCAATGGACTTCAGCAATAGCAAATACATGACCCTGCACCTCAACGAGACTGGGACCACGAATCGAGCCATACTTACCACCAGCGTTGGCAATTTCCTCCCACTTGTCAAGCTTTTCCCATCCAATCCCACTCAACGCATCAACTGCTTTCTTTACATTACTCCCCCCAGCAGAAGCAGCTCCACCACTCCCACAGCACGTCATCACGAAAAGAAGAAGCAGCACCGCGGAAGTAAACACACGCCGCGACATGTTGGGCCTCTTCGGCTCACTCTCTCTTCCTTCCCTCCTCCTTCCGCTGGATCCGGTCACGCAGCGACGGTTGTGTGTGCGGGGTGCCTTCACTGCAGCAATACGTGAGTGCATATAAATATGTGTGTGTGTGCTGTTGGTCCTTTCAGAGCCTTCAAATTTCACAGTAGCGTTTAGCGCCAGTTTGCTTCCTAGCGTGTGTGTTCAAGAAATGGAAGAGAAAGCAGCAGCGGCAATACATCAGACACGTCCGTGGGGAGCAATGCAGTGCACCCACGCAAAGAGCGGGACACAAGACAATCCGGAAGGAACGGCACGGAAAACCACCGCCCAAACACCAGTCCTCACACACACACACAGACACCATCGCAGTGCTGCCAGTCCGCGGGTAAGAGGATTCGGCCCTCCACACAACAAACGCACACAGAGCCAGCAGTCAAACATGGACGAGAAGAGACACACCGCCACCGCCTCCAGTTCAATCCCACGGCCAATGGGATACGGCCACAGCCCGCTGCCGGCACACAACGGACACGGAGCCAGCAATCACACAAAGTGCCACACGCGGAAGCGGATTATCATCCATCCATGACGCGACGCCTCACTCCATGCGGTCACACGGAGTGCATTGTTTCCTCAATAGAACTTATTCGTCGTCCATCCCTTAAAGATGTTTCTCTTAATGATCGGTCCTAAAACAAAATAGAATAAAAAGGAAAATGTATTAACACTACGATACAGCTAAAGACAGTAATTCCTTAATAACAGAGCAATTCTCTTATTACGACTTGTATACAAACAGAAGCATTCACATAAATATAAGAATCCTTCAATATTTTCTTACCATTAACCAAAATGCCCCTGGCATCCCTGATTTCTTTTTCTGTCGTTGTGAAGGAATATCGCGTTGTAATTTTTTGCCATCTGTATGTGCCTTACTCCCAAAGGGGATGGTGCACCGGTGCCGTATAAAAAAAAAAAAAAAAAACCATTCACATGTATTAAACAACTCAAAATATGTTTTTTTACCAAAAATATAAATTTCCCTTTCCCCACTTAATTTCTTCTGTCATTTCTATTATCACTCGCGTTGAACATTCTTAACACTTTTGTGCCGTGCTGCCGCCTGATGCTGGTGCACCCGCAATATATGCACACACAAGTGTCGATATATATATATATATATACATATTTATATATTTCAAAAAAAAAATAAATTTTTCCACAAATCAAAATGTCTCTTTCACTTTTCATTTCCTAATCTGTTTTCTTTTTTTGTTTTTCTTCCACACTTCGGAGAGCTTCGTCTCTTCCAAAGTCTCCGGATGATATTTACACTTGATACTGGCGCACCTCTTCTTTCCAGAATGCCGCCATTTCACGGCTTTCAACGTCGCTCACAATATTGGGATTGACGACATCACGTCTCTGCCAGCCATTCATCGGCGTGCTGCACATAAATAATCTCCCACAACAATCCCTGAGCAAATTCCTCCCACCCATCAAAATAAGCCGCCAGGCACTCAGTGAACTGGCGTTCCTGCGATGTCGACTCACCGTGGTCATCCGCAGCCCAACCAGCGACTTCCGCGGTGGCTCAACGAAAAAAGCCGTCCACCTGCGGAATGTTTCTAACCGCCGGTCCATACAACACCCGGGCCTTTACATCAATCTTCTTAGGTCCGCGTTGCAATGGAAACAATCCAAACGGCTCGGTGGGATGTCCTCCGGGGTCACCCTCAGCGCGGTGTTCAGTGGTTTTTGGGGTGCTGGCGACCTCAGCTCCTTAAGTTCCTCTGCTATTTTAATGAAAAAGACTTCATTCCTGGATGCGTCCAAAGCATATTTCTCCAGAATTACAGACGCAAAAGAGCATTCTTACTCCTCGTTACTAAAAACCAAGAATCTCATTCAAGGGGAATACCTTCACCACAAAGGGAAATGATCGATCCGCGAGGTGACCAGATATTAAGTCGGTCTTAAAATCCTCGGTACCAAAATCTCCTCTTTTTCGTTTAACGCACATAAGTTTGTAAAACGGATTCTCGGTACACCATTCTTTCGTTCCTCCATGTGTAAGGCGCTCTGCATCATCCCGAGATTTTATCGATCTCAAGACACGAACAAGTTCATCATAGCGTTTACTGAAGTCATTCGCATCAAAGATGTAACGTAGAATCGGCCCCAAAAAAAGCATTTGATGGGAAACCATCCTCCAGTATTTCTCTTGCTCCTGTGTAGTCCAATCGCGCGTCATCCACGCACACATCGCCTTCACATCCATCTCGTCGGGGCGATTCATGATGATTCGGTGGGGAACTCGTTGACGCACAAACTCAAAAATGTCCCTTACCTTTGGGGATGCCAGCACAATCGTGCCCCATCCAGTGGAGGGCGCAAAACTTATCGGCAGCTGTGCCTCATTCGTTGGCACATCGTAGATTATATAACCTTTCATCCCACGCTGCGACAAACTCAACACAACACTCTCGGATGCTTCAATACCCACGTATTTTGTCACCGTCTTGGTGGTTTTGTCAAAGACGTAGGCCACATCCTCTCCAAAACAGTGGACAACCACTTGGATTTTCTCGGCATTGCAGTGCAGCAGCTGGTAGAGAAGGTAAGAACCGGCATTCATCGACTTCCCGATCCCGGGCGTTCCAACCAAGAGACGCTGCTTAAGCGTGGAGCCGTACACACTGCAAGTGACAGACAAGTCTTTTAGATCACGCTCAACAATCTGCCACACTCGCTCCACCTCACAGTTCACATAGCAGTCAACAATGGGTTTATTCTCTCTCCACGAGTACGGCCATCCCTTTTCCGAGGCGAGCACCATCAGCCTGGGACGTGGTGGGCTAAATTGCTCCACACCGTCATCCTTTTCGAAAGTTATGCCCTCCGCCTTGTACGTCCAAGACATTGATGGTTTTCCCTCATGTACCTCCATTCGGTCCTCCCAAATCTTATCGTCATAAAACCCAAGACATGGCCCCACTTCGCACCGTACACAGACTCGTAGAATCCCTCCAGTTTGGTTGTCTTTTCTTCAGTATCCTGCCTCACATCTTCTTCTGCCCTCCGCTTCGCCCTTTCTTCTGCCTCCAACCTTGCTACTTCTTTCTGTATCTGAGTGAGGGCATCGTTAAGTTTTTTCCTTGCAAGAGGAGTGAGAGTAGCCTTATCTTTAAATTCAATCCAATGTTCGAGATAGTGCACACCCCCGTCCGCAAGCTTACGCCTATCTGTTAAAAGCTGATAATCCTTTAAATTAGAAATTTCTTCAAGCTGCTGCTGGTCTTTTATGTAGGCATCGGGGCTCCTCAAAAAATCCCGCATCTCCACATTCTGTTCTTCTTCAACGGCTGCCCTGGAGCCAAAATGCTCCCGAAGAAAATCATTCAGCTTCATCCTGGAAATGTCGGTCTCTCCGTCCAGCAGGATGTCCCTCACGATGCTGCACATGGTCCACCGTAGTTGCGCTTCCTCCACTCTTATGGGAGTCGCAGCGGGCTGATCTGTGTTACCCTCAAGGTCCGACCTCGCTCTCCTCCGAGAATGTCCCTGTGGCACAGCAGACGCTTGGCCCTCCTCATTACCGTAAAGTCCTTTCTCTGGTCTTCCAGACATTGTTTCTCCTTGTTTTCTTAGTTGGATCGAGTTAAAGTTGAACACTAACCACCAATCAAAAAGTGAATAAGAAAGAAATGAGATACGCACGGATATGACTAGCAGCCACAAAAGTAGAGTCATCCACACAGCGTGACGCACACCACATGCACGGAGACCACCGCAACGACGGCAAGTGGGTGACATCCACCCAGCACAGTGTTGGAGAGCGCCAACAACAACAACGTGGTGGGCGCGGAGGGTTCGCCCACGCATCCCGCTCGCTACGGTCCCACACCCCTGTGGCACCGCCGTCACCACACACACTCTAAAAGAGGAAACGCTCGCACAACGCACACGCACACAAACACCGCAGTGCTGTCAGTCCGCGGGTAAGTGGATTCGGCCCTCCACACAACAAACGCACACACCGCCACCGCCTCCAGTTCAATCCCACAGCCGACGGGATACGGCCACAGCCCCGCAGCCAACAAACACAACGCACACGGAGCAAGCACCCACACAAAGAGCCACACGCGGAAGCGGATCCACATCAACCCATGACGCGGCACCAAAATTAGTACTTCCATCCCGCCTTCAATGGAATGGCTGTGCTTCACGCGGTGACACAAAATAAATATTCACCTGGGCCGCTGGCCGGATCCTGAAGCTTTCAGCAACAGAAATCAAGCAAGACGAGAATGAGAAGGGTTGAATGGAATGGGAGTGGGTTCGCCAAATCCTCAATGAGAGTTTACACCAAGCAAATGTATGTTTATATATACGTATTTCGGTAGCCACCATCGTGACGCGGTCACTCCATTCGGACAGGATGTATACCTATATATATATAACTCACGAAATGGAAAGCTTTTGGAGTCCTCCAGCCAAAAGACCCCGCCGCTCCCCTTCGCAAGTTAAGCCCCTTCGTCAAGTCCTCAGGTGCAAAAACACGACCGCGTGACATGCCGTCTGCGCGGTTTTCCGCAGACCGCACGCAAGTAAAGGATGCCTGTACTCCGCGAGAGTCAAAAAAACTCATATGTCCGTCGCAGCTCCCACGTCATGGCGTGCGATTTTGAGCTCCTTTTATTCGCCGCTCCTTGCAGCGAAGTGTTGTCCACCCAAACGCCAATGGCGCGTGGCGACATGGCGGAAAAAGCCAATGGGGCTAAGAGCAGCGCGCGCGCCTCGGCCTGCATGATGAGAAAAGGGCTCTTCTTCCACTCCCCTCCGGCAATTTTAACATCGCCGGAGTCTGGAATAAAAACGGCACTCCATCCATGGAGCGACGCATCCGTGATGATGGCGGCAGATGCCTTTTCAGTGGGCTTGATGACTCACACACAATTATTCTCGATCATGTGTCGTAAGCCCTCGCCCAAACCAACCGCTGCCGGCGGAAGCTTCGCCGGGGATGTCTCCATCACAATCCCCCGGTTAAGTGCCGATAAACGTCGTCGTACTGCATTGCTGAAAAAGCAGTGGTCATATAAACGCGT